GCAATCAGGTAGGTCAAGAAAAATCACATCACATCAATCAATTCAATCCCAAAACCCCAAAAACCTTGGGAGCTATCGAAACTGCTGTGCAACCGTGGCAGCAAAAGTCAGCGGGTACGGCTGAGCTTTCAGGGAGAGATGCCCTGCTGTGTCGCGCAAAGCTTTGCTAGTGGCTGCAAGTTCCAAAAGTTTCCCAAAATAGAAGTAGGCTTCTTGTGAGGCTCGCCGAATTGACAATAGTGTAGAAGAATATGTGTTGGTGAATGTCTGTTTGAAAACTTCACAAGCTCTGGCATCTTCCAAGCAAAACTAGAAGAGGGGTTCTCCAAGGCATACGGTATGTGAAGAGACTCACAAACACTCATCAAATAAATAGTAAAGACAAGCAGGGCATTACCAGTGTTGACCTTTTGCTGATCTCTGCGCGAAAGGTTTGGCAACCCGTGCAAGTTGTCCGGGTCTCTCAGCGGCCCAGGTCCAAGACCATCGTTCTTGCGGGCTTGACTGAAACTGGTACGTGGCATTCCCAACCAAAGAAAACGCACACGTCTTGACTGCAACAAATGAACGATTTTGTGACCGACCTCCCTATTTAACACATCATGCGAAGGGTGTATACAAATATCAATTGGGTATGCAGAAAAGCCAAGATCACGAAAAGCTTGAGTGATACGTGCCGTTCCGGCGAAGACCTCCAGAACAAATGAAGAAGGAATCTTCGGCATACTCAAGACATCTTCCCAGCCAAGCTCCCCTAGTGACTCCGTGGTGGGAGAAGGCCCTTGTGCACCTTCTCCATGTGTTGCAGAGACCAACGACAGTACTCCATGTCCGAAGGCGACAATCGGCCGAGAAGCTGTTGAAGTTTCCCTACCTTCGTGTATCGTCTCACACTGGTGTCTGCTAGCCACCTGCCTCGTGCTTTCACCTCCGCATAGTGTCTCTCTTGGCCGTTCAGATCGTCCGCTGCTCCCCCGTGCCTGAGCTGGTACGGATGGAGGGCTTGGACGCCCAGAGCTTCTCCTGCCGCCCTGAAGTGCTCCCTGAACTCCTTCGCCGTGAACGGGAAGATGAGAGAGTCGCCACTGGTTTGTCGACGAGCTTGAGCCAGCATTAGCTCCCCAATGAATTCTCTTCCCTTTGAGTCCATGCGAAGTGTGTTGTCGAACACGCCAACTTTGTCTGGTTGGCCCCATTCCTGATCTCTGATCACTATGCATACTGCCTGATAGTTTCGCCCGCCTCCTCGCACTGGTGCCACAATGTCCTGGGATCTCAAGGCAAGGCTCTCTCCTGGTCTCATATATGTGTCGTGGTCGAGCAAGACTTTGAGACTCATTAGCTTCTTGCCTCTGGCCAGCAACACCATTGCGATTCCGTAAGCCAGGATGCGAGGTAGTGGCAGCCTGCTTTTTGCTGGCATCTCCTTTCTCCATCCTTTCAATGCCCTGCGACATCTGATCAATCTTCCTCTCAGTCTCACATCCATGTACTCCACTGCTGCAACCATTTTCTCCCCTTCTGCCGCGCTTCTTCCCTCCACGAACATGACATCCATGAAGTCTGCCAGCGCTGCATCGGTGATCTCTGGGTCTTTTAACTCTATTGTGTTTTCCCTGCAGAAACTCATGAACTGCTGGTGGTACTTTGTGTATTGGCCCTGAATCTCTGAGCTCACACTTCTCTGTTCCAGAACTGTCAGAACGTTTCGACGCGCTCGGTTTCCCACGTCTTTCTCGACGACTGCTGGAACACGCTGCACCATCCTCCTGGGAGCCGGTTTCTGCTTCACTACTGCACTCTTCTTCACTAGAACACTCGACTTTGTGGGCCGCTTCACCTCTGCGACTTCTGACCTCACGGCGCGATTGAGCTTGGCGCCAGCCTTTGCAGTGGCCTGCTTGGGCACAATGGCTCTGTTTTTGCTCCCTGCCGCTGCTATCATCAAATGGTTGCCCCTTGAAAGCACCCGGCAGGACTTGGCCCCGTGAAGGACCATCTGAAGGGTTGTATTCACTGGGAACCCTTCTCAACCTCACTGCGAAGTCACCGGCCAGAGATAGAGCCGACAGTTGCTGCAGCACTCGAAGTAATGCATAGCTAGAAGCTCTGCCCTTCGATACTGCAAAAGCCAAACCCAAGTTGTCGACGAACACCAGATGACGTTTAGCCCGGTTATGCCCTGCCCTACAAAGCCTACGATAAAGAAGTACGAGTGCCCTTCCTTCTTTAATAGTGATGTGCTCAGATGTATTGCCCCAGCGACCCATAAGAACTGTCTTCCAATCACCCGGCTCCATGACCTCGGGGTCCACCTCGGGAAAAGACTCATTGCGTTGGTATCGGTTGAAAATGTCCTCCTCTAGGCTTACACCTGTGACCGTGACATGGTCGACCAGCGGGTCCCGGTGCAAAGCCCTTGTCCTTGGCGCCCACTCTTCAGGCGGAAGCTGCTTGAAGCGCCAGCGCTCGTTCCAGCCTCCAATTTGGCGGACCGACGACAAACCCAAGGGTCTCTCGCATATGCCATAGCCGTCAGGAGATGCATCAGTGGCAAAGACAGTTTCAGACCAAGTTCTGCGTAGTTTTGCAACCAAAAGGGGTACTATACCAATGAAGTTGAGACACTCCCGCCGCTCAACCTCGGAAAGCCACCTTGGAGGTCCCCCAGTCTGCACAAAATCATACAGTCGTCTAAAACAAGACATACCTGACCGGCAAATAGTGCATAGAACCATTGCGTGACCGAGCAGTCGCTGCATGGTGTCGGGGTCGACAGGGTGCCTGGTAATGTGCTCGAAGGCCAGTATCAGGCTCCAGGTTCTCTCCGGTGTCAACGCAACCTCACCCCGAACGCCATCAATCATGCCCCCCAGGGTGAAGTAATGTGCGGTGCCCTCTTCTTCTTCGTGGATTGCAAACCCTATGCTTTGAAGCTCCTCAACAACCTTTTGCATGCCGTGTGTGCAACTCTCCTGCTCGGTTGAAAGGACATGTACATTGTCACAATAGGGCATGGTGAGATCTCTTCCGTGAGAAATTCTGGGGGCAGGTTGACCATCAAGAATAAGGCAAGACCTAGGAATTTGCAAGCTGTTCAATGAAACCTGCTCGTGCAACTTCTGCACCAGGTAGAAACTCCAGGAAAAACCCATAGGAAGAACAGTAATGCAAGGGGTCATGCTGCTATTGGTGATCAAGTCTGTGTCTTCCCCAAAAATACCCATCATCTCTGCACGTGTGAGGTCCTGGCCGAGGCAAAAGAAGTCACACATGCCCTCTGGCAGTCGCACAGCATAGAAGCAGTCTTTGATGTCCGCTCCTGAGCAATATAACGTCTGGTCACGTTGAAGTTCCAGTTCCGAAAGCGAGCTCAAGGAACCTAACTCTGTGTGAGGCGGTGCCTTAAACATCATGTTGGTCGCACGACAATCGAGGATAAGCCTTTGTCGTTGGACCCTCACCCCATCGACTTCTTTCGGCTTTTTGGAGACTGAGAAAGCTCCCACCCTACAACGCACATTGTTGGTGAAACTAAGTATACCACAATCGTATAAGCGTTTCACAAACTTCAAAAAGAATTTTCGATTTTCCAGGGCCGGGTCGTTGTAAGGTTGGAGGAAATCAGAGTTGCTTGACAAAGCTGTCCAAACATCTTGATCTTGAAGCAAAGTGTCCTCAAAGTTAGAGACAATCCCACGAAGGGGATCATCGATGCATTCCAACAGGTCTACACCAGCGACTCGTCCATCAGGAAGAGAAAGCAGAGGCAGACTCATTGGGACTGTGTCACCCACGCCAGGCTCAGCCATCAAATAGGTTGAGCTGGCCGCCCGGAGCACCTTGAGGGCTCCCGAGCCGCTTGCAGTGGAGGGTGGGGGACCCAAGTGGTGCACGGCCTCAATGATGTTCAACAAACAGTCACGTTGGCAAACCCGAGCGTCACTCAGATCTTGAACTGTACGGTATTGCCCCCTATTTTTCCCTCCGAAGAAAAGTGAATTCAAAGCATCGATGGCCAGGTTGGCGCGATCCCTGACCTTAGCTTTCTTGCATAGTCTACGTGTAACTGAACGACAAGGACGTCTCGTCAAATCCAGCATGCCAGCCAAGTTGGGCAAAGGAAAAATGTCTCTTCTTCGCCCATCAGGACTGGGTGCCCTGAAAACTTGTCGCCCCATGAGTGCAGTGTTTGAAAACGAAGGGGTGGCCCCACTGCTAGGCCACCCTGCTCCCTCTACTGGGATGGGCCCCCTTGGCCTTTTGCTCCGGCCTTGGGGGCTCCTTTGGGTCCTGGTCTGTTCTTCTTGCCCTCATCCAACTTCCTGCGCTCCTTCATGATCGCCGACTGTGCCGCCATCTTCTTTGCCACATGCTCAGACAAAGTTGGGACAACCACCCCACCTCCAACACGGAAAGTGGACCCCATGTAATGCTCAGCCCCCAAGTACGATGGTGTTCCTGGTGAAGCCGCATGAGCATCAGCGAGCAATTGGCGTCGCCTGCGCACAACTTCCATGCAAGCAAGGTTGGAAATGTCCAGCGCATCGTACACCAGAGCATAGTCAATCACCCTTGCCAGCACTTCGTCTTCATATATGCTGCGGTCGCCCTCCCCAATCTTTGCAGAGTTGATCCACATGTGATGCTGAGCCGTGGCTGATTCAGCAATCGTGCTAATGGCCCGGCAATATTCTAAGGTGGTTCGGGGGAGAAGAGGGAAGTCTTCAAACTCTGTTTGGCGAAGCTCCGAGATGCTCTCTCGAAAGTTTCGCTGACGTTCGTTGTTGACTCCGTATCGAACCTCAAGGGTCCTGACGTCGTCAGCAGCTTGCCTATCTTCCCCGTCAACACTCTCAGCAATCCTGCACAGCTTGATCCTATCGTCGCAAAAACTGGGGACGTCTGCCTCAGCAACCTCATGAATCAGTGTTGGTCGGGTGTTTCCACTAGCGTCTGCTAAATTCATCAGGCCCCATACACCATCACGCACAAAGCCAGCAGGGGGGATCACCCTTTCACCGATCTTACGCCCATCAACCATTTCTGCAATGACCCAGACATTGGCTCCCACAGCTGGAGCACCACCTCCAGCGGCCGCCGCAGGCGCACCTGGCGCGATCAGGCCTCTTCTCATCTTTTCCAGCTGAGCCTCGGACCTACCTGCTGACAAGAAACTTGCAAGCTGTCCAGCTGTAATGGGAGCAAAGCCATAGATCGTAGCGGGGGTTATTCCAGGGGGAGCCCCTCCTCCGGGTAATGCCGCATGATAGGACAATATGTCTGTGTTGGCTATGCTGTACTGCTCAATGTACATGTCGAAGTCGGGGGTGAGAATCAGGTATTCGTCATCTTGGATGTGTTCTAATATCAACCTGGAGTGTATCACGGTAGGATGACGCTCCCCGTAGTCTACATACACCAGGGATGAAGCTGCGAAAGCCATGGTTCTCAACCTCCTCAACCGCTAATCGGCAAACCCTTCGAGCCGTAGACCCCTTTGCCCTTTGAGGAAAAAGTAAAGGTTCTGTCAGCACCGGACTGGTTGTCCTTGAATCTAATCTGGAAGGCCAATGCAGTGTGAGAAAGGATGATACCTAGAACAATCACTGCCAAAGCCACCCAAGCTCCCACTCCACGGTTCCAATAGCCCTCGGCTGTCGAGTGACCACTCCAATTGCACAAGCAATTGCACGTGGGTACCTCAGGAGCCTTTGGAGTGAGGAACTCCTTTGCCAGCCAGCCACTGATGAATCCACTGGCTATCCAGGGCAGGTGGATGTCCATGGCATGAACAAATGCACCCCAAAATTCTTGAGGATAGACGGCAGCCCGAGCAAGGACTGATCATTCGCCAAACTTCTGCAAGCAGGGTCTATATAATTATATATACTGTATATTAATATAGTTTAGTATATTTTTGTGTATGAACATGCCATAGGCTATAGCTTTGGAGTTGTACCATCTACTGTTCTGGCTGCCCACACATTTTGCCACCTGCGACATCCAATGTTGAGCGAAACTCGGTCCCGGACAGTGTCCCTTCGCCGGCAAAATACAATGATGACAGCCTCACACCGTCGGAGACCAGATATTTCCAGCTAGGACCCTTGATATTCGGGATAACAATTGGCTGGTTGATTAGAGGGGCTTTATCGCCTAACTTACTAAAACAAAGTGTTGGGGGTTCCTCTGAGGTTGTGTTTCTTGGCCTTCCGATGCTATTATATAATTCCTCATTTAGGGGTGGCTTCAACTCTGTTCACAAAGCTAGAGTCCCCAGATACTCGAGACAAGCCCAGCTCCTCAAAGAGTAGTCCACATGCCGAGCAAGGCGAATTGAACCAATGTAGCAAACTCTTTGGCAGCAAGAAACACTTTGAAGGATTTCAGGCAGGTTTCCAATGAACACACGGATGAAATTGGATACAAATTCAACAACTCGACAGAAAGTAATGCATGTGCCTGCTTCTGAAAACACCTGGACCTGAGTTTTGGCACCACTTATGGAGCGAAATACCCAAGAAGTGAGGCCAAGCCGAACTGAGGAGCCAAGCCGCGAGGGTCCACCCAAGCACTGACTTTCAAGGCGTATGTGCATGCTTGTACTTAATCAACCTACTAGCGATGACCTAAGAGCGATGGCCTCTCACCTAAGAGCGATGACCTCCCACCTAAGAGCGATGGCCTCCACCCTACTTGCATAACGTACTTGGATTACCGAACAGTAGAGCACTGGGCCACTGGGCCATTCCTTTGATGTTTGATAATGGCAGCACAAAACACTGTCCCATTGCGCGAGGACTGACATAGGCAGCTCATTCCATGTGGGCACAGGTTGCCTACCAGCAAATCGATCAAGGTGAACCCCATCATGTCTGGAAAGCCGTGTTCCTGTACGAACAGCACACCTCCGCTATGGAACTTTTTTCCTGGAGGCTGCCCTTTCAGGCTGCATCCCAGCAAACTACAGCTTGTATCTCACACAACCGTTCTCTTCATCGCCGTCCGTAGCTCTTCTGGACCACGCGACATGATCCGCGGGTCGAACGGACCACGTGGGACTGGCCTCTTCGAAATCCCGGGACTCCAAGATCTCTCGAAGCCTTGGGTCCCATAAGGAGCTTGGGTTGTGCAAAGGAACTCGATGTGGTAATGCAACAAGAGCTATGTAGATGCTGTTATGTTTTGCTTAAATACAGCAAATCTCGCGAGCCAAATTGGAATAGAGCCTACTGTATCTTGTCGTGTTCCTTGACATATGTCACTTCAGGAGAGAGATAATTGGGCCGTAGCAAGTATGGAGCTATGGAGCTATGTGGCTGAGGGCCCAGCAAGTCAAGCTTGTGTTCTTTGCTCCCGTCCGTGCGCAAGCTGGTGTGATGCAAGCGCCCCTGGCTAGGTTTCGACGAAGGAAAGTGAAGTTTCATGAAGTTTCCGTTAAGTATATAAGCTGGTAGTTTTTGCCAACAGCTGTCAGAAGTCAGTCATAATTGCTCGCAACATCCTATGGGCCATTGATCTTGATGTGTCCGTGGTCCATTGTGAATCCAAGCTTCTCCCAGCCATTGGATTCACAGAATCTGAAGGGCAGCACTCTGGAATTGATCCAGGGCAGTTTGGGTAGGGACAAACCTGTTGGCTCCCTCCAGCTGCCTCGTCAGGAAGGGAGGGTTGGGGTTTGTAAGCAGTGCAGGACTCTGGTGCAGGACTCTTGTACCTTGAGAACATGAATCGTCACCGCAGGACTCGTCACCAGCTTGATTCGCCCGTCCGAAAACACCGACTCCAGGTTTCGGGTGGATCTAATCTCTCCGATCTTCTCTTTGAGTACAAAGCCATGATGGCTTTCAAAACTCCATGGCGGTTCAAAAGACCCTGACACATTGTGAGACTGCGTGATTGTGTGCTGCTTTCCTTCCAGCTGCACTGACGCGACGCTCTGGAAAAAGATATCATTCGCTGTACATGGCTGAATACTCCTCTCTCTCACTTGTTCACACCATTCATCTAAACTCAATTTGGTCCTTAAACTTCACTGTACAGTAGCTGGGTTTTGCTTCCGCTGACCCCGAATTTGAGGGCTTCTTTTGCGTCTCAAATAATTCTTCACACGGTTGGATGCTCCCCTACTCCGAACAAAGCTTCTGTCTGTCTTTTGTTCACATCGTCGCTGCTAGCGTTGAACCAAGAGATGCGAAAGCTGGACCAAATTTCCTCCAGTCGAACTCTTCCACCCCGTGCCCATCCGTGCCCACCCCCATGTGACTCGTTTTCACCATCCGGGCGCCTTCTTCAGCATCTTCCGCTGTACAAGCTCACCGTCCTCGAACTGCACCCGCCAGCGGCCTCGCAGCAATCGACAGGGCGAGTCACGTGTCTGCCACCGGGGAGCATGTTCGATGAAACGAACAGAAAGGATCTGTTCAGGGCTGTTCTATACAACCACGGATGTTTGCTTGTTCCTGCAATTGTTCTACAAACCTGTGATGTTTATTAACCATGAGTTCTCTGGGAAGTCAATGACCAACAAAACCCAGGTTGAACATGGTTGAAGCTTGTTGGTAAATAACCACATTGGACTTCTGCAGACCCAGGACGAAGAGGAAGTGCATGCCCACCACGGTGGACCATATCCGATATCCAGCCAAAGGAATGACTCACTTCAGCATGATTTCAGAATCTTTCCACAGCGGTGTTCTGCCCCCATCCTGGACATCGAAGTCACAGCTACCATCTGCTACCACCATCCACAGCAAGAACCAACCAGCAAGTAACTAGACCACCAATTTCCGACCCCTCCAGATGAGTCCATGACCAGGGCGTCCGTGGGCCCTTTTGTGTCTCGGACCCGTTCAGCCAGAAACCTCGTCTTGGACATCCTTGGACTGGAAAACCGATGGATCCACACTCTGTGGTTTGCTGCAACCAAGCTACTGCCAACCTGGAACTCGGCAATACCTTTCCTGCGAGTCGGCATGCTGGTCAACTTGCAGCATGGTCAACATGATCTGGTCTAGTCAGCTTCAACGGCAACTTACAAACCCGGATGACCATCGTCCCATATCGTCCCTATAGGTACTTGGATTGCTTGGCCGCTTTTCTAGTCGGTCCGTGATTCCGGATGAATCGAACTGGCCGTTCAGTCTAAATGTCACTACCAGGCCTTGTGCCCGCAGTGACCTTTCATCGACCAACGATGAAATCTCCGCGATCCCGGTCCTGCCACCTTTTGTGATCACCGGATCGCCGGGCTTGAACCTGGGTCTCACACATTGCGCAAATGCTTCACAAAGCAATGCGTGCGAGAGGTACGGCAAGCAGGCAAAACTTCAAACACATTTCCTGTTTGGCAAGAGAGTCTAGGATTCTATATGAAAAAAGCTCAACACTCAACAAATTATATAATTGCAATTATTTAGTGTCCTTGACAAAAGAAACATATATAATTTATACTTAATTCGTTTAATGGCAATCCCAGCCAGTACTTGCTCTTGAAACCTCTCTGCAAATCACCCCCGATCGGCACTCAAGAGTTCTGCGTTGTGTTGCAGTGCTGTCTACAGCGATGTTTCGGAGAGAAGCCGGAGTATCATGGGCGCAGCGGAGTCTGGTGACCGTGGAGAGTATCATCCGGATCAGCGGAGTCTGGTTGTGTTGCGTTTGCTGGCCGCGGAAAGCATATGCGCTGATGTCGATCCTTTATACGCAATGGTGTCACAAAAAAGGTTGAACACACCGTTCCAAAAGACTGTTTTGAGTCGCGAAACTGATTGAGAATCCTCTTCAATGTTCACAACTCTCAGACACACAAAAAACACAACTCACTTCTCTATGGTCTTCCTTTTCTTTCAACCGGAACTCTTCTTCTTGCAGCTTCAACATCCTTTTCTGCCAGACTGGAATACCTTTCCTCCAAAACTCAATGTCCTCCTTTCCAACTGACATGCGGTCTCTCCAAGTTCAATTTCCTTCACTTTCCATTTGCAGAGCGAGCTTTAGTCTATAAAGAAAATACTGCAGGGGGGACAAGCCAACAAGTACCGTTTATCTCTAGGTTGACAAAGGTCTTCTACGGAGGTTGGCAAAGCAGGGATGAACATGCAACTCATGGCCCTGCATGGCCAAGAAGACAAAAGAAATAAAGCAAGAAAGGTACGGAGGATGGCCATAGGCCAACAAGTACCGTTTATCTTCTTCCCGAGAACAAAAGAAAGAAGCGCATGGCCGTGCATGGCCCCATCAGATTCAGCGTGAAATCCTATATGTGTTCCGCTTCATTCTCGACTCCAGGGAGCCGGTTTTGCTGTCTTCGACGTTTCTCCGTTTCCACAAAGGACTGCCACCCCCTTAAGGATCCTTCCAACATCTTCGAACTATCTGCCAAGTGCTTGTCCACAACTGCATCCGGCGATCCCAATGACCAACTCTGATGGGATTTTCTTGATGTTTTCAATATTTCAATTCCAGGCATAACCAGGCTGCCCGGCTCACGCATGACCCGGTGCGGCGGTCGGGCGTCCACGAAGACGTGGGAGATGGTGGTGGGCTGGCTGAGGTGGTCATGAAGACGAGCACACATGAGTCATCATGAGTCGCATGAGATGGAACTGGGTGGCCTTTGTACACTGCAATTAATCCGATTCCTGGTCAAAGAGTGGTATGTGGGAGGGAGTAAGAGTTTGAAGGATTGATCTCAAAACGTGTGCGGTTGCAAAGTGCATCGAAGAACGTCAGAGATAGATTCTTAGATTCTTAGATCTTCCTGTCTTCTGTGTGGGAACAAAGATTTCAAGTTGAAATTCACAACAAACAAAACCTACCACAAACAATACACCCTGATGAACAACCTTTGCATCTCAACAGTCGGCTTGGACTACAGACACCAGAAACGCTTCAGCTTGGCAAGTGGTGTAGGCTAGCTCCGCTTTGGAAAATAGGTGTTTGTAGCTGTATTAGTAGTATCAGCTTCATCTTCAAAACTTTACCCTTGGGTGGCTCACAGAAAGCATGCCACGTCGGAATTGCTTTTTCATCTAAATTCTATCCTCGGATGGACAAAGATATGCTACGTTGGAATGGCCCCGGCTCACAAAAGGTATGCTGCGGGCTCCGTGAGCGTTCCATGAGTCCTGTCTCCTCCAGTCCTTTACCCTCAATTGGGTCACAATTGGTACGTTCTGTCTTCCCCCCCGTAAACATCCACTTGGTTCGCAGAAACGACTTTCTTGCTTTCTAACCTCATTGTTGTTGCTGTTTGTGATTCCTATTTGTTTTTGGTGATGCCTCTCCAAATACCGTTTCTGTGAAAACAATGCTTAAACTTAAACAACGTCCATATCAAACACTCCGCGGGACTGGCATATTTAATTACCTAGATTGGGGTGGTGTCAGGGGTCAAAGTAGGTATATATGCCAGTCCCATGGAGGTCCATAGAGGGTCTGGGTCTTTTCGCCCCAACGTGTCGGGCCCACGACTGGATTGGTCTGTCCATCAGTGCAGTCCAGCCAGACCTGAGCGTCGCCGACTCCACTTCTGGGCGAAGCCGACTGGTCTTCTTGTACATGTTTGGCCTCTCTGCTGACTGGTCTTCATTAGAAATAGACCAATAGACACAAACAATACATGTCGCCCACTCAAGCCCACTCAAGGTCCCGGCGCAGTTGTGGCCCAAAAAGGCTTCGGCCAGCTCTCTCACCGAGAGTGGAATGGTGGCAGACCAGAACTCAGCGCACGTTGCTCCGCAAGAAATGGACTGGGAAAAGTGGACTCAGGGACCGTGAACGTGAGACAAGGAAGATAAAGAAAAGCGCCTGTGGACAGGGCGGGGAGACACCAAGATCCAAAACAGGTTCAGAAGTCTAAAGTCTACTATATTACAAATTACAAATACACACAAACACACATTAAACTAGTTTAAACGCGGCCAATTGTATGAATGCTGATACTGCACACAAAATACCAACCACAAGTACATGAGAGCGGCCCGCACAGCAGTGTGCAAACTCTTCCTTGTAGCTCGAAAATAGTCGAACTGGAACCATGCCAATAGAGGAAAACCCCAGTCCTCTCTTTCTATAACATGTACATTGCTGTAAGACACCCCTTCAAAACCACTGGCCGACACCGGTGCTTGGCGGCCCCAACTGTGGTCTGCCGACCGCTGGTCCGGCTTGGCCTGAGCAGCTACAAGCGATCTCGCACGCAAAAGACTAGGGTCCAAAACAAACATGTGCTTCCATCGAGAAAAGCAACGTTCTGGATAGTAAAACCACAAGCAGGCTTTGCATTCAATGGTGGTGTGCCATGTGGCCATGCTACATGTGTCCCTTAACAGAAGCTGCTCCTTGCTTGAACTTGAAGGGAGACAAACAAGGGCGAATCTGGAGCTCTCATAGGATTTGGATGGATTTGGGGTGTTTCAATGCGTTTCATCCTTTTCGTCACCGGCCAAGACTCCCAACATAGCACCCTGGGTGATGATCTCTTCCAACTGACTTCCGAAGCCTCTTTGCAGCACAAGCTCCGCTTGGTGGCCAAAAGCTACAGGAATAGCCAGAAAACAAGGAGACAACTTTCAGCATCCAGTGGATATAGATTCTGGAGGTTGAAAATTGACTGATTCAAGTCGTAGCCGAGGCATTCAAAGCAAACTAGCAAAGCCCAACGTTCTGCTTGGTTGATCCTAGGAGCAACAACAACAAAGGGCTAGCTTGGATTGACGATAATTGAAGTTCAAATCCCACCAGGTTTATGAGGGAATGAACAATTACCTCCTTGATTGGCCGCCGACGCCTCTTTTAACTTAAATCACCATCTTGCCAAACACCCAGGGATCGGCAGGCCTTGGGACCTTGCTTCATCCAACATCCACAAAATCGTAGGAAGCATCTTCAAAAGCAAAAGATTCCTCAGGTACTACTCGGGAGCATCCTGATAGGTGTCCCGTGTTCTGGAGTCAAACCACTGGGACTTAGACATCTACGCCAAGTCCGGCTCAACATGACTGAAACAAGTTTGACCAAACAGAGAGTTCTTTGATCTGCGCACATGTGGTTCCTGCGCACATGTGGTTCTCCTGACCTGGTAATCATCGTTTGCACAGAATTGCCTGATGGATTGCTGATCAATGACCATGGGCTTCGCAAGCTTGCCCAGCAAAGATGAAAACCACCCAAATGAGTGTGTATTGACATAAAGCCCTGCTGGCCCGATGAGTTTGCTGGTCTATAGCGGCCATTGGTCCAACTTTTGTATATACGTAATTTGTACATTGTATGTCTGTCTGTCTGTCTGTCTCTGTCAGTCAGTCAGTCGGTCCGTCAGTCAGTATGTCTGTATGTATGTCTGTATGTATGTCTGTATGTCTGTCTGTCTGTCTGTCTGTCTGTCTGTCTGTCTGTAGGTATGTATGTGTGTGTCTGTATGTATGTATGTATGTGTGTATGTATGTATGTAACTATGAAACTATGTAACTATGTAACTGTATGTATGTATGTGACAGTATGCATGTAACTATATGTATGTATGTATGTATGTATGTATGTAACAGTATGTATGTAACTGTATGTATGTAACTGTATGTAATTGTATGTAGCTGTATGTATGTATGTATTGTATTGTAATGTAGTGTAAAATAATTTAAGGTAACTGTATGTATGTATGTATGTGCAATGTAATGTAGTGTAATGTAATGTAATGTAATTGTATGTGTGTATGTATGTATGTATGTATGTATGTATGTATGTATGTATGTATACATGTAGGTATGTATGTATGTATGTATGTGTGTATGTGACTGTATGTGTGTATGTAACTGTATGTATGTATGTATGTATGTATGTATGTATGTATGTATGTATGTATTTTCCTAGAGTTGCAGGTTTGTCGCAGGCCTTTGGCCGGTGTCTGCTAGGCTTTGCCTCAGTGGGTTGGGCTCTGCTCAGATGAACTTTGGCACCTAGAAGAAGTCGACTTCAAAGTCGGGCGGTTTGTCTTCATCAGCATGGTCTGCATTGAGGCTGGGTGTCATGGCCAGAGCAGACATGCTTTGGGCTAGGTCAGCCTGTTCTTGTTCATCAAGTGCCGTGAGGAAACTCAGTCTCCTTGGAGTGGGCCTGGAGGCTGTGGCTTTCGCCGTTTGTGAGGCGTCAGAACTGTGGCTGCTGGACTGGTCTGATTTCTTCTTGAAGAAGTCGCTGATGGGTGGTGAACCCTTGGCGCCAGCCCCTTTGCAGGGCTTGTGCAGAGCTTGTGTTGCAATGATGCGGAGCTCACCGTCCAGGTTCCATTGTGTACCACACTGGGTGCATTTCACTCTTTCACCAGTCTGCCAAAGTGCATGGCCTGGGTGGCCCTGGTGTGCCTCTGTGTAGGCTTGATTGACACATGGGCTGTGGATGAAGGTTTTGAAGGCAGCTTCATTAACCGTTTTGTGGACATTGATGCCACAGACCAGGCATTTCAGGTAGCCCGTTGTTTCTGCAAGCTGGTGCTGACCAGGTAGTGGATGTTCCGGTTGTTGATCTAGGAGTTGCTTAAGCTGTTGAGCTCTAGTCAGCTTCCTGGGGAGTGGTGCTGATGCTTCTGCTGTTGTGGGTCCATCATCAATCAAAATCTGTGGGCAGTCTTCTTGCAACCGGGCCTCCAAGACATCTGTCGTGAGACTTTGGTGCATCCTGATACCGCAGCTGCGGCATTGATAGCCACTCCGCTGATGCGGTTCCCAGTGATGGTGATTTGCGTCCCACTGTTTGCGGCAGCGGTTCACCAGCTCCTTTTTGTATTGTTTGGTTTGTTTGCCCTGGTGCCTGGGTGCCTTTTGGTGCACATAATGCGTGTTGTCTGCAAGGATCTTGCTGAGTCTGTTGACCGCATGTTCGTAAATCAGCTTGTGGTCCTGATCCAGAGTTTCCTGCCATTCTTCTTGCTTGGCATCATAGAAGTTTTTTGCCCGTTCCCAGGCAGCCAAGGCAGAATCCCTTTGCCGCCGACGAAGCTGTGGTTCATTGGCGGGTGCATCTGGTGTTCTGGTGTTCTTGCTGATGTAAAGTACCGTGACTCGTTGAAAGTCCTGGGTTGGTACTTCAGCAAGAATGTCCATGTATGGGCCTCGGTGTTTTGGGTGATGCCATGCCTTCCATACAGTGGCTAACTGGACAATGACTTTGATCGAGTCACTGGTGTGGTTTGCTAAAGCCACCAGTCCTGCCAACAGTGCTCGAACCTTGGTCTGGCTGCCCTTGGCCACTCCAGTGAGTGATCCCAGGCGTTTCAGTTGCCCCAATGCCATGGTGTGTGCACAGAGGCCATAGATCCACATTTGGCTGCGGATGTCATATGTGGAGGGTGTGGCATCCAGAGTAAAGGCCCAGCCACTATGTTGTTGGAGTGGGATGACGGGCAATCCGGCCCAGCAGCCATAGCCCTGCCATTCGTGCTTCCTGCGGCTCGAGTGGGATCCAACCATGGGCCCATAAGGGTTCTTCCTCCTGGCTGGTGATCCTGTTCATCCATTCAGGCGGCATTGGGTCATGGCTTTGGGTTTTGTGCCACTTGCACAGCCACAGCACATGCTTTGGTGTTGCAGGGACTCCACACAGTGGGCAGCTCTTGGTCTGGTGTGCATCACGGAATTGGAGGGCGGCTTGTACCCAGGTGTCCAAATGATGCTGCTGCTGCTGTTTAAGCTGTTTGCGCACTTGCCGGTATGTGTGCCAGTCCAAGCCTGTAAGCAGGTTGTGGTAGAGTGGTTTGCTGGCCAGCCGGGAGGTTCTCTGCCATTTGGGCCTCCTGAGTGAGTGTGCGCTCTAAAAGCCACCATGGATCTTGAAGATGTAGGTCCTGTGCTAACAGCAGCTTTGTTTCTGGCCTGTTCCAATGGAGCAGTTCCTGAGGTTGCCAACCCCATTCAAGGAGGTAGACTATGGTCGCGGCAAGAGGCCCACGGACACTGTACCAGGGGTACTGTTTCTCCTGGAGTTGCTGGTAGGTCTGGCTCCATGCCTGCTCCAAGGCTTGGATCTGGTCTTGTGGCCAGGCTTGGATGAGGTGGTGGATGGCTTTGATGTGCTGGATGAGGACTTGATCACTGGGATCAATGTAGCGTTTGGCATGGATGTCATACGTCACATCAAGGAGCCCTCCGGTGTGATGTCCCAGATGTTTTGCCATTCCATTGCGTAGTGCTGCTCTGTATCGTGGTGCCAGGCCCTGACTCTCTACACCCCACAAAGCCACCGGTTGTATGCCCCCTCAATGCAATCTCAGGCGCACTTTGAGTGCAGGAATCTTCAAGCTGCGCAGCTTGACTTTGCGAGCGGTGGCCTTCCTGAGGCGTTGTTTCATGACCGGGATTCTTCTTTTTCGGGCTGCTTGATGATCTATGCCCAGATCCCTCATGACCGGTGCCACCTGGGGTTCTTCATCCTGCAACAGAGCTCGAAGTTCTTTCTCTGTAGCTTTGTCTGTGGCCACGAAGGCAGTCTTCTTGGGATTGACTTGGAGGCCCAGGCGGAGTAGTCTTCCATGAAGATCCCGATGGGCTGCAACAGCTTCTTTGGCAGCCTGAAGAGGCGTGCGACTGGCAGTGTCAAAGCCAACATCGTCCACCCAGCTGAGAGGTGGATGTCTGGGTGTGCTTGTTGCCATGGCTGCAGGGCTGGTGCAAGGACTGCTTTGGCAAGCAGAGGTGCCTGGGGGCAGCCAGCCGGGACACCATTGGTCACCGTGAAGAACGGTGTCATTTCTTGTTCTGCCACTATGGCCTTGGGGCCATGGTAGACTTGCATTGCCATCTCAAGCATGAGTGGCGGGTAGTTGAGTTTGAGGGCCTCCTCCTGGAGCTGTTGCAGATTGATGGTGTCATAGAATGTTGACATGTCCATCAAGCAAGTGACGCCATGACGTCCATTGGCTCTGTGAACCTCCTGCCTCAAAAGCCGCTCTAGCGCCACATACAGCACATGGGCTCCTGGTCGGGCTTTGTCATGGCTCATGGTTGCTGGGAGCTGCTTCTGCCAATCATCAAGCAGGGGCCATGTGCATTTGCTGCTGTGTTGGCAACTGGACCTTCTCTTCCATCTCTTGGTAGAGTTTGAGGAGGGCTTTGACTGCAAGTGGTGGGGCTGTCCGCAACAATTGGGCCGTGACGGCATCCGGTCCACAGGCCTTGTCAGGCAGATGGCGGAGCGCCCAGGTCAGCTGGCTGATGGTGAGCGCCTCCAATTGTTGTGCTTGCTGTCTGGCCAGGCTCTGGAGAGTGTCCCTCTCAGGTGGCTGGTGGTCTTGGCGGATTTGCCACAGCTGTCCCCAATCTTTGAGTCTTTGGGTCATGCGTTCATCTGGAGGCAGATCTCTATATGGTCTCTCCCAAGCCAGTTCACTGCTGCGGAGGCTCCGGAATAACCCTTTGAGGCCTTTGGTGTATCCCTGTGTCAGCCATGCTTTGTATTGGAGATGATTCTCATCATTGGCGGCTTGTTGGGCGAGTTGGAGTTGATGGTCAATGGTGTGGCTGACCAGATCTGCAGCATGGCTGTCTTTGTAGCGATGCCAGTGGTGGCATGTGTCGAGGAATTGGCCCCAGGTCGGAGTGCCAACCCAATGCTTGGAAACATCAGCAGTGGCCTGCATGAAGCCTTTGGTGGGTCCGCGTACTTGCTGTGGAGGTTGTTTGAGCGCCAACTGGAATCTGGCCTTCAGTTGTTCCCAAAAGGCTGGCCGGCCCCTTTTCCACGTTGTGACGGTTGTGCTGGGTGTCAATGGTTTGTGGCTTGCCCTGAGGTTGGAGCCACGGCCTTGAGCAGCCCAAGGGTGTTCCTGAAGGAGGTATTGCTCAGTGCATGACAACCAGTCCGCCCATGATTGGGCAGTTTCATTGGCTGGGTTGCCATATAGGTCCAGCTCATAGGCAGTAGACTTGTATGTGGTCCATGGCCGGAAGTCGATGTCCGGTGTGGCCGGCAACGGTGGGAAGTACTGGATCTGCCGGTACTCTTTGGTGGCCTCTTCAATGTTGAAGTGGTACGAGAGGAGTGCATGAGGTCGCCAAGGTATGGCCCACTCCGTGGTGAGTGAGGTGGTGCTGGCCAGGCTGGTGTGGATCAGAGCGTAGTCGATGACATTCCCTGACAGGAGGCTGGTGTCTGGCGAAAGTACTTCAAAGTGGAATTTGGAGGGCAACACCGTACTGGTGATGCTTCCTGGGCTGTTTTGCCAGTCCCCTAGCAAAACAAAGGGGTGGTTGGTTGCCTGGACGAGTGCCAATAGCCGTGCAAGGATCGTGGCATTGACATCACTCTGAAGTGTTTCACCTGTCTTCATGTAGGTGCCTGCAACCAGTATGGTGCATTCTGTGGCCTGCCAGGGAAAGGCCTGAAACCCACAGCCCTGGTTCGTGTAGGACTCCGAGGGTGTCAAGCCACAGGAGGGATCTGCAAGCACCAAAATGCCACCATGTGAGCCTGTGTTGGTGTCATTGGCCTGTGCAGGGGTCCCAAAGGCCGTTCGTCCTCGAATGTATGTATGTATGTATGTATGTATGTATGTATGTATGTATGTATG